GGATTTAAGTAAATGATTGAATGCTTTAATTGAATGCAGTTATCTTTTTTTGATTGATGCTTAAATATGATTCATTTTTTGTGTGTGTGTGTGCTGGGAACTTTTAGACTTTTTGACACAATTCTAACCATCCTGATCAGCTTCTCGATTTCTAGAGTGAAAAAATGTTGCAGATTCAGTTTTTCTATTTCCTTCCCCGGGTCTAGAACTAACTATTTCTTCGAAGATATCTTGTTCCTTTTGCAGTAAATAGTGTTCGAAGTCCACAATCTGATTGTTATATGAAACACTGTGTTTTTTTAAAACAACAATCTTTATTCCAAGAATTAAAGCATTGAAAAAGAATATGACAATGGAACATATGAAATTTGTTATTAAGGGCCTCTCCTGGTGGTGCAGGCAGTTGAGCGCAGTGCTGTGAAGCTGTCCGCAGCCTCTGCAGTGCGTGTTCAATCCCGGCTGGCCAGCGAGAATCCCACATGGTGTGTCAGACCTCTCCTTTCTCACCCGCTGCTCCCCTCAGCAGTGTATTTCAGTCAGTCTGCCTGTTCTGTTCCCTTCTCTGTCTCTGGTGTGTTCCCCGCTCTATCTCTGGTGAATCCTCTCACCTTCCCGCGCATCTGGCCTGTACCCCAGTTCTTGTATGCATGAATAAATAGATCTTCAAAAAAAAAAAGAAATTTGTTATTAAGATTTTTAAGATTACTACCCTGTATGCATTAGTAAAATATTAAGAGAATTTGTGATGCTAGTGACTATCGGTTGATGATTTAGGAGTTAGGATTTGGGAGAAACCTTTTTTTAGTTTAAATACAGTTTACCTGTTTCTCCCCAGCTGCTTTTATCCTGTGCTGGGTACATTCTTTCTCTATGATAGGATAAGAGGCAGAGGACTTTGCTTTGCTTCATCATCTGGTACTGCAGTGTGGACACATGGACTTGGCTAGTCTGCAGAGATGGCCACGCCAGGGCCAAAGCCGGGGTGATGTAGACAGTAAGAGTTTGGTAAAAAGCAAGAAGTCTTGTCTAAGAATCTGGAGACTTGGGTTCACATCCTAGGATAATTATTACTGGATCATGCTCACTTCAAAACCATCCTTACCTATTCTGGAAGCCATTTAAACTATCTGTGCCTGTTTGCTCATCTGTAAAATGAATGGAATATGTGTGCATGAGTAAGTGTCTTGGGATGGAGTGTAGAGAAGGACAGTTATCGTGTCTTAGCTAATAGGATTTACCTGAGGGCTTTCTAGATGGAAATAAAATATATGAAAGGGTTAAAATATTTGCAATGATTATATCTGCCCCTCACCCCAAGGTAGTCTTATTCCTGGACACAGGAACTAACTCTTTTAATGTGCATCACAAAACCCTTGGCCCAACCTCTTTCCTCCACTGACTTTATGACAGTGCTTAGAATTTCCTTGATTCTCACCCCCTTACTTTTCAGGTATAGACTCAAATGTTGTCTGAAAGAAATGCTGTTTTATGTCATTGTCTTTTATGAAAATCCTATTTGCTATGATAATAATCTGACTAGATTATGGGTTTTCTAGCAGGTTGCTGAGTAAATGAGAAGCTATGGCTGCTTGTATAGGGGGAAGAAGATGGCTGGAGAGGTCTGGAAGAGATGACCAGAGCACTTTAAAGGTTATCCCACTGCTGCACCTCCCCCTGCAGTGACCTTTAGGGTTAACATTCCCTAGGTCCGGCTAGGCAACCAGCGCGCAGGGGGAGAACAGCAAAACCCTACATACCTGCTGCACCTCCCCCCGCAGTGATCTTTAGGAATGGCTTTCGCCACGGTCCCTAGGTCTGGCTGGGCAACCAGCGCGCAGGGGGAAAACAGCATAACACCCTGAAGCAGAGGAAGTTCAGCGGAAGTTCCCTGAAAAGGCAGAAGCTTATCAAAAGATAACGACCACCAAGAACCACTACAAGAATGCTAAAAATCTTATCCCGTCTTTCTAGAACTACAAACTTTAATCCCTTATTTGTCTTTCTAAACTTCCTTCTTTCTTCTATAATGGTCATTGTTTGTTATGTAGATCACCTCCCTGATGGTGATAGACTGAGCCCATGAGCAAGCTAATTTCATTGATATTCATTCCTGTGCTTTTGGAAAACATATATATATTGGTCACAAACGCAAAGAAAATTACACTCAGATTTTCACTCTTGAAGTGTGTCTGTTTGTCATTTCTTTCACTGACGCCCTGACCACCCTGCACGCTTCTCTCAACCCTGAGGTGGCCTCATCGTCTACTGCTGTGCTGGTCCGCGGCATCCCACTGCAAAGGAGAAGGGTGGGAGAGGAAAATTGATGGCAGGTTGCTAGTTGGTATCTACCTGAATTTTATTTTGGAAAACTAACCTTCCCTCTAGGGCGTGATCTTGTTGAAACTTCTGTTTAAGTATCCCCTTAAAGGGAGGATTAAGTGAATGATCTGAGCTAGGCCAGTCGTATGCATGTTGAATCCTGAGTGGAGCAACCCAAAAATCTAAAATTTGTGGAGTGCATCCATCTCATTGGTGAAGCCCTAAAAAGATTCTTCAGTCAAGAGCTCCTGCTCCTATACCAACACTTTGCCCTGACCTTTAGCCTTCCTGAGCATGGATCTTCAAATTCTTGTGCTGCTGCCTTCCAGTGGATATACTTTTCTCTTTTCCTCTCTGCTCTAAGTTAGCTAGATTTGGTCTCTGTTGAGGGACACCAAGAATTCTAACATTAATGTACATACTTGTTTAATAATATAATTTACCCTGTTCCTCCCTGTAGTGGCAGAGAGGTAACTGAGACACTGAGTTCCTTTTCCATATATCTCAAGTGTTTCCACTGAAACTTGGGAGACCATTTCACTACAAACTCTGCAAAGAATTAAATAACCTGCTTCATGAATAGCTTGGATTTACTACAGAAAAAGGAGTTTGGCCTATTTCTTCATCTCTTTCTCTTGTGGGCCATTTTTAAATAATATATACTTTCCAAAACAAGGGAAACATTTTATTTTCTCCATTGCAAAAGTACTATGTGACTGTTTTAGAAAACATCAAGAATCAAAAAGATGAAAAAATGTCCAATAATCTTCTAGATAATTATTCTTTTTTATATTGATATTTTAATTAATATTCTTTTTATTGAAGTAATGTTGGTTTACATCATTGTTTGTATTTAGGGAGTATAGGACCCCCCTGCCACTTTCCCCCAGTGTTATTGCTGTAGTGCGCCCACTACCAAAGCACCCAGGGCCTGTCACCTTATCCACCATGTTCCTCCCTACCTGACCCTCACTCCTCTCTCTCTTTGGATCCCTGTGTTTATTAATTAGCTTTTCTAGGGTTAGTTTTTAAGTTTGGCTTTATCTGTTCCTTTGCTTACTTTCTCTATATTCTATGTATAAGGGACACATTGGTTATTGTCTTTCTCCTTTTGACTTATTCCACTCATCATGATCCCTTTTGTCTATGGCCATACCACCCTGACCACCCACATGTTGAAAGCTAAGCAGGGCTGATGCTGGTTAGTGCTTGGCTGGGAGATAAATTACTTAACACTTTGTTGTATTTTCTTGCACTGTGACTATGAGTTATATAATATATACTTTACACAAATGGGATCAATATACTTTTTTAATTGAAGTTACATTGGTTTATAGATATAGATTTATCTATATAGATTTCAGGTATACATCATTATAAATCAATATTTCAAAATCATTTTTTTTTCCTGCAAAAGCTTTATTGTTTTCATTTGGTCCAAGACTGGGTGAGCTCAGTGAGAGTCTCAGGCTGAAGCCCTTGAAACCAATGGGCTGCCATTTGGGCTCCTCAGAGGCTGCTGGGCTGTGAAGGATTCCTGTTGTGCTTAAGGGTGAGCCTTTTAAGCAATTCTTGCCCAGCCCAGCCTGGGGTGGGTCAGCCTGCAGAGGTTAGTCAGGAGGTTGCCCATCCTCTTGAGGCAGTTCACCTCTTAGTCCAGGAAGTGACTGTCCTGAAAGTCATGGAGATGAGGGTCTGCAGGGGTAGAGCCCAGGGCATGCAAAAACAAAATGGGCTGGTTCAGGATCTTCTCCAGGACCATAGGGGCTTCCATAGTCTCCAGGATTTTACCCCATTTATCTGGGTATGGCTTCTGGACACCCTGAAAGGGGCACAGTGGCCATGTGGGTTTTGTAGCTTCAAGAGATGCTGGGCGGCCTCGTGCTTCTCCGCACTGTGCCAGTCAGGGCAACACTGTGGTGTGCGAAATAGAAGCCCAGGGAGAGGTAGGTGTAGGGAAGCCTATAGATGCAGGTAGTCCAAGCGGTTGACAGTGGCCTCTACCTTGGTGGAGTAATTCTTCTGAACCTGGGAGCTCATGGTTGTCAGGCAATGTGGAGCTAAACCCAAACAATGGTTGTGGGTTTTCTTGAAGAAGATTGCAGAGAGAATGGTTCCTCAATTTGCAACTGTAAAAAATGTTGGAGGGTGGTCGGAGGCTGATAGAAAGGGCATCCCAAGTCTGTTCCGTGCAAACACTGTTGAAGCTAGAGACAAACCCAAGGCCTGTCCAGCACACTTCGATCTAATGTTTAATGGTTGCACAGGATCCTTGCCTTTTTGTATAATCATTATTCATAGTCTCAGTTAATGTAAAACTGTATTCTTTTATACATGAAAATTAAAAATTTAAATCACTTTTTCTGTTTTGAAACTGGTATAAATATTACCCAGTGGGACCCATAGCCTACACTGATGTCCACCATATATTCTCACTCTTGGTTGCTGTTAGTGACCTATGGTAAGTAAAGCAGGTGGTGATCTAGGATGTAGATACTGCACAGAACCTGTCATGCTGGAATAATTATGTACAGACTGAAATGACCTTCAATCAGCAGACCTTCTGCAATTTCTATTTCGCTATCAGGCTATCCTAGGAAGAGTTTGCATATAAGCTTTTTGTTATCAATAAACTTTAGCCCATAAAGGTATGCTAATAAGATCTCTAACATTCCTGACAGGACTGTGAAAATCTTTTACTTAATAAGTCTCAGAAGTCAGACCTGTAATAGCATCCTACAACGAGGAAGGAAGTAAGATTCTGGACAACCATTTACTTTATTGGGACACAAAAGTTGTTTTGAGTGGTAGAATCAGGTAAGAATGCATATATTTTCTTGGAGGGGGAGGGAGATATCTTGAATCATTAATCATCTCAGAGATGATGAAACCCTGAAATTTCACTGCATTTTCTTAGCTTTGAAAATCTGCTTTGCCAAAGTGTTTTTTTTTACTGTCACACTCTAGAAAAGCAAGGGCCTCAGTGTGGAAAAGGTATGGCAAGTACTATTGTGTCATTAGAGCTTCATAATTGACCTTTCAGGATTAAATAATAACCATTTGGAAATGTAGAATACTTTAAAATGTAATAATTGATCCAATTTTTCAAGGTACATTTTGTCTTCTGAGAACAGACAGGCATTTGCTCTATACTTAAAATTCAGATTTTAACAATCAGTGAAAATTAGTGTTAATGGTTTCAAAAAGTGCGGTAATATGCTGGCCCAACATGTTGGCTACCTCATAGGGTGGAGAAATATATGAGGTATATCATTAAAATTCTACTAAGGTGAAAATTCTATTTTTAAATCAAGTGTTATTGTTGACTTGTTTAAAAGGCCGGTGACGCCAACCAGTTTAGTAGATCAAAACTAGCAAAAAAAGATATAGTATGATTTTGTTTGTTATGCAGACCCTACCACGTGACCACATTTACAGACAAAATCTGCACACAGATTCTTATGGGGCTGGAAGTTCCATCTGTTTGTCTTCCATTTTTAATTGTCTTCTTTGTGCCAAAACCATATCACCATAACCTTGAGAAGAAGAAGGTGTACCGGGTTTGAAGTTTTCTACTGAAATAGCAGCTAATAACTAGTAAACTCTTGGGATCATTACATTTTAGAGGCATATTTTACATGTGAAAATTGAGATCAAGATACAGAACTATTTTATTTTGCCCTAATTTTGAAATTATCCCTGCTGGTGGTGGTGACATTGATAGATGAGGAAAATTGAAAAATAATCAGGAAATCTGGGAAGATGTTCTAGTGTCTGTCCACTTCGAGTTTAGAACAACCCTTGAAGTGCTTACTGCTAGTGCTTACACTTATTTTAACCTTGAGCGCAGGGATTGCAAAATAAAACAACTACATATACCATGTGACAACTTAGATGGATGAAGCCCACTAGCTAGGCACTATGGCAGGTTGGAGAAGGCATGCCCCATCTAAAGGGAACAGAAGCCACTAAGTTTTATGAAATACTTGGCATGTGGGAATGCTGACTCAGTGTTGCCATATTTTATGAAATACATTAAAAGAAAATTCGAAGTTTCAGATTTGTGAATGTAGGTCCTATAGACAAATTATAACCTCATTTTATCTTGTCAACTAAGTCAAATTGAAACCAGTTTTTTCCAGGTTATACTAAACATTCCTGTTACCAATTTACAACTCTTGATGATAGCAACATTTTAGCCAAGTATTATTCATATTGGGCAAATCCTGTGGTCTAATCCCATCTCATTGTTCAGGCTTACTAAATCATGGGCTAAGAAAATGGGTTTTAATATCCTACTTATGATTCCGGTAATATTTTGATAATAACCTTATATAACCTCCCTTTAAGGACAGGAAGGAACAGTCTTTGCTATTTAGGAACCTAGTGATAAATGCTAACATTTTCGAGCATTTATTACCTTACATGGAACAGATAATTACCTATATCATTTGATCTTATTTACTTATTTAAAGATTTATTTTTATTTATTTATACAAGCACTGGGTACAGTCAGAAGCGCGGGAGAGTGAGAGAATTCACCAGAGCCAGAGTGGGGAGCAGAGCAGGCAGAAGGACCGAAGTACACTGCTGAGGGGAGCAGCGGGCGGCAGGAGAGGTCTGCGCGCCATGTGGGACTCTCCTCTAAAGGTGGCCGGGGAGCAGCCGGGGATCGAACCGGTGCTGCAGATGCTGCGGGCAGCTTCACAACCCAGCGCTCAACCGCTGCGCCACCGGGGAGGCCCTGATCTTATTTTTATAGAAACTTTGTAACTTGGGTACTAAAATTATTATATGTCATCCTATCCCTATTTAAAGATGGGGAAACTGAGGTTCATTGCCTGGGATTTCCCAGTCACCTAGTAAATGACAAAAATGAGATTTAAATACTGGAGGAGATTTCAGAACCGTATTTTTTAACTACCATATTACACCTTCTCCTGCTAATTAAATATGTTTTTACCTTTTATAGTAGTGATAATAAATTCTCCTAAAATATGTTAAAGAATCTGTAAGGACATTTTGTTTTTTAGTAGAACATAAGGCATGGTCTTTATCCTCATCCTTTGTCCGCAGTTACTCTTTCCCCTGTCTTTTGATACAGGGCTTGCAAAATGGGTGGGATCCTTTAGATCATCGAAGAGGGAAATTTTACTAACAGCTGGTTTGAGGCTAAAGATACCCACCCCTTTTTTTATGCCAAGCCCCATTTCCATACTTATCACATAATATTTGAAAGTTAGAACATGGAATTTAAAGACCAAAGTTTATGGGTCTCACGTCCATGTGGGAAAGGCAGTTTTACTTAATATGTGATCACAGAGTAGAACTCTGGCCAGTAGAAGCCCCGGCCAGCTTTTGCACAAGTACAGGTAGTGTGGGGCATCCATCATCTCTGTTGACAGAAGTGTTCCAGATGAGACCAGTGTACAGAATCACAAACAGCATCAGTGCCATAAATGAAAGCAGTGTGATGTAGCCAAGGAATGCAAATAGATTTTAGCGTACTTTCCAAGTGATAGATGGTAGCTTCCAGGATGAGCACTGTGCTGAGAAGGTTTTGAAAACCCCATCCAAGTTTATCAAAGAGTGAGTGACTGGCCTTGACTGCCACAGGCTTGCATTATAGAAGTAGTAGCAAGTGTGCTCTGTACGTACTGTCCCTGGTATTACCTAGTCTTATGAAAAAAAGAAGGCATCTTAACCCATGGACAGCTGGAAGTACATACATTTTAAATATGTGATTCTATCTTTTTCTGCTTTTCATATTTCTTCTTCCATCTCTGCTTTTCCCCAGGAAAAATGGCTAAACGCACCTTTACCACATTGGAATCATTGCTGATTTTTGTTCTTGTGATGATGACGGCGATCACAGTGGCCCTTCTCAGCCTCTTGTTTATCACTAGTGGGAACATTGAAAACCACAAAGGCAAGTGTTGTAGCTTTCTTGGATGGTGTTCCTTGGCCTGCATGAAATTTCTTGATTACAGGACATTTAGGCAAGAGACAGTGTCTACTGATAATGCTGATAGCAGGACAGTTCAATATTTACTTAAACAGTCTGGTATGATCATGCAACATTTATATTAATTACTATTTCCGTATTGGTAGAAATTTTTATCTTGTTTACCTTTGCCCCAAATCACCAGTTGGCTGGCATTATGTCATGCATTTGCTTGTCTTATACTTTTTTTGCTGATCTACTCACAGTAATGTGTTCTTTTCCGTAACTACTCTTTACCTTTGTCTACTTTTTTGGCATCATTTTCTTCTGCAGACAAAGGAGAATGAAAGAATCATTTAATATTAATTTGTATAAACCTTTAGAGAGGGGAGTTTTGAACTTAGATACTCATGAGGGCCAATAAGGTTCTGTAAGTGTAGTGAAATGGGGAGATGGGCCAGGGTGGGGGCAGCTGTAATTCTGAATGGGATCCACAGGCCCTCCTGAATGCCAGCTATCTGTCCTCATGACATTTTATGGACTCATATGGTATTTTTATACATCTCTCTCTCTTTTACTGTTAAAAATGAATTTGAATATTGTATAGACTGCACTTAAAAATTTTTTTATTTTAACATTTATCATTTTTTTTACCTTTTTTAGACAATATTTGCTTCCCCTCACCCCCTCAGATTGAGTCCCCATAGAATCTCCTTCCCCAAGGCACCCATGCACCATCACCACAGTCCCCTGTGCTCCTCCCTCCCTCCCTCTCACCCCTTTTCCTCCTCCTCCCCTGCAGGATGTCTCTGGTTTACAATTGTCTGTTTTTGCTTTGTTGTGGTTTGTACTGTATTATTTTTTTACACTAATGTCCTATTTGGTTCCCCTATATTCCTGTTATAAGTGAAACCATCCAGTAGTTTTCTTTTTCCTTCTGGCTTATTTCACTGAGCATAATTCCTTCTAGCTCCATCCACATTGCTGCAAATGGCATGAGTTTATCTTTTTTGATTGCTGAGTAATATTCCATTGTGTATATACACCACATCTTCTTGATCCAGTCATCCATTTTTGGGCATTTGCGTTGTTTCCAGGTTTTACCTATTGCAAATAGTGCTGCAATAAACATAGGTGTACAGGTACTCTTTTGAATCACTCTTTCTGTGTCCTCTGGGTAGATCCCTGGGGGTGGAATTGCCAGATTGGATCGTATGGTAGCTCCATTTTTAGTAGATTGAGGAACCTCCAGACAGCTTTCCACAGTTTGAACTTCCACTAGCAATGTAGGAGAGTTCCTTTTTCACTGCATCCTTGCCAACATTTGTTGTTGCTTGTTTTTTTGATATGTGCCATTCTTACTGATGTAAGGTGGTATCTCAGTGTGGTTTTGATTTGCATTTCCCTGATGATAAGGGATGTTGAACATTTTTTCATATGCCTCTTGGCTATTTGCTTTTCCTCTTTGGAGAAATGTCTTTTGAGCTCTTCTGCCCATTTCTTGACCGGATTGTTTATTTTGTTTTTGTTGAGCCCTGTGAGTTCTTTGAATATCTTTGCGATCAGCCCCTTATCAGTTGAATGACTTGCAAAGATTTTTTCCCAATCGGTGGGGTGTCTCTCTGTTTTGGTTAATGTCTCTTTTGCTGTGCAGAAGCTTTTCAGTTTGATGTAATCCCAGGTGTTTATCTTTGCCTTCACTATCATTGCTTTGGGTAATGAGTCTTTAAAGATGTTTTTGAGATCTATGTCTTGTAGTGTTTTACCTATATTTTCTTCTATATATTTTATGGTTTCAGGTCTTATGTCTAGTTCTTTAATCCATTTTGAGTTGATTTTTGTGCATGGTGAAAGGTAGTGATCTAGTTTTATTTTGTTGCATGTGGAGGTCCAGTTTTCCCAGCACCGTTTAGTGAACAAACTGTCTGTGTTCCATTGCATGTTCTTTCCTCCTTTGTCAAAGATTAGTTGTTCATATAATTGTGTCTTTATTTCTGGGCTCTCTATTCAGTTTCATTGGTCTGTGTGACTGTTTTGGTTCCAATACCAAGCTGTTTTAATTATTATGGCTTTGTAGAATAGTTTGAATTTTGGAAGTGTGATACCTCCTTTCTTCTTTGTTTTCATCAGCAGGGTTTTGGCTATTCGTGGTTTTTTGTGGTTCCATATGAATTTCATCAGTATTTGTTCTCATCAACATATGCTCACCAAATTAATGGGCACCAAAATATTTAGGCAATTATTATCAGCTCTGAAAACAGACATTAAAGAAAATACATATCTAGTGGGAGACTTCAGCACCCCACTTTCAGCAATGGACAGATCAACAAGACAAAAAATAAACAAAGACACTAGAGCCCTAAATAAAGACATAGAACTCATTGACTTAACATATATCTATAGGACACTGCACCCAAAAAAATCCGAGTACACATTTTTCTCAAGTGTGCATGGATCATTCTCCAGAATTGATCACATTCTGGGCCACAAGACAAACAACAACAGATACATGAAGATCAAAATCATTCGAACTATCTCTTGTCCAATCATAAAAGCATCAAGCTAGAAATAAATCATGAAAAGAAAACAAGGAACCCTCCCACTTCCTGGAGATTGAAATCCACACTACTGGAAGACCACTGGACTAATGAGAGGATCAAAGAAGAAATTAAAAAAACACTTTGAGTTGAATGGCAAGGAGGAAACCACTTTCTAGAATGTATGGAATGCAGCAAAAGCAGTATAGACTGCATTTATAGGCAGTTTTTGGTGTGTTAGACAATATACCTGCAAAATGAGTAGAGTTGGTGGTAGAGATTGAATGCTTTGACCAAAGTAAAAGGAGGACTGACCACAGGCCAAATGGTGAAGGAAAGAGCAATTTTCACCTCAATTTTCTCTTTGGTTACCTTTTCACCTTTCCAGTATATTCTCTAGCATATTCTCATGCTTAGAATTCCCTGCAAACTGCAATAGAGATTCTCTGTTCCAGTAGTGGGCAAAGCAGAGTCTTGAACTGCTAGAAATGAAAGGCTCCATAGGACTCAGTTTTAGCTTTTAAAATTAAAGAATCTGGAGGCTGCAACTCGGGGAGGTTATAGTTATTAAAGTAACTATTTTCAGAGTAGAAATTTCTGTTTATTGAATGGTTACTGTGGGTCAAGAACTTGTTGTCAGGAGTCTACATCATTTTCTTACTAAAATCTCATAAAACTTCTATAAAGGTAGGCACTGGTCTTGGCACCATCATACAGACTTGAAAACTGAGAGTGATTGCTAAGAACCTGCCTTTGGCTATGTGACGAGGTTTGGCTTTGGCTGCGGCACTACAGTCTTCCACTGGTAGCAATGAAGCAATAGCAAAGATGCCTCTTTCCTTCCTTGCAATTCTTGATGTCTTGCTGGAAACATGGGTTTGGGGATAAGACAATAGGGCATCTAACTCCAGCTAGACTGTGGCTGAACAGATAACAGGTTCTGAGTTGAAGCATCTGGTTTGGGTACCAGATTCGTTATATGCTTGAAATGTTTGTAAGTCACTTCTCTGGGTTTCAGCTTTCTTATATGTAAAATGGAGGCGATTGGACTAGTAGGTAAGCTCTAGGTTATTTTTGAGGTCCAAAATTCTCTAATATGAGAAGAAATTAGTTATTAATATCTTGTCTAGTTACTTTCTGATGACTAATACCTTGTGACACTGATATTTGCTGCCTTGGCCACTCCTGATTGTTGTCCCTGGTAGAAATGAACACACAAGTAACATACATGTAAGATATCTAAATATGTAAATAAAACCAATGCTGTATGCCAGTCATTGTTCTGAATTTTAATATGTTTAAGTATATTTATTGTTCAAAACAACCTCAGTTAAGTAGTGTATTGTTATTACCTCCATTTTACATATGAGAAAGCTTGAGTGAAATAGCCTAAGACATTAATTTAGCAAGTAAGAGGTAATGTTGGGGGGAAAGGATGTCCTGAACAAACTCCACAAATAGATTATATGGACCCCACTGCTGCCCCAGTCCAAAGAGATCCAAGGCACAAGGACTACAAATCCCAAAATGTCACCAAAGGGAGGATTGCTGGGAACTGAGGGTGGAGTTAAGCTGCCAGGTTTGGTGTATAACTGGGCATGTGGGCCTTGGGGGGGTCCTTGTTTTTTTGCTGGCTTTCAGTGTGCTATTGGGGTTCCAGCTTAGTGGAACTTGTAGGATGCATTCACCAATTTATCTCTTTCTCCCTGAGCTATTCCTTTCTTCATTTCCCCCTTTTTGTAAACGAACCCTTTATTAACCTTTCTGTGTGTGCCTGCAGTTGAATCTCATTGTAAATCCCATTTAAGTGCATGGGTGAGGACCCACAGTCAGGCCAACCCATTTCACACCGAAGTTGCCTTGTAACAGTAAGTCAGATTTCAAACCCAGAGTGTTTGTTTTTGATACCTGCCCTTCTAGTCTGTATATCATTCTGCATGTGCACCTGCACATATGTGTGTGTGTGTGTGTGTGTGTACATACATCCTTACCTGTATGAGGAAAGAATGACAGAAACAAATCCACAGGAAATGGGATGAGTAGGCCGTGCTCCTGTAACTGGCAGCTGATTTGTTCAGCTGGAGCAGAAGTGCAGGGTGAGTGAATGAGGGTAATGATTTGACATGAAATGGCTTGTGATGAAAAGCTAAAGGACATTTTATGGAGGACTTGATCATACAAAACATCTTCAATCTAAGAAAAAACTCTCCTCAGAATCATGATATGAAACAAGCTCCTGAGACATTTCTTATTTCATACATACTAAATATAAGAAACTACAAAGATTTTTCATCAGGAACCTGAACCTATGTGTTCAAATTGATGTGGACAAATAACTGGGCTGAAATGTTGTTTCTTATATGTCTTATTCTGTTTTTAAATTCAGGTTTCCCAAGCACCCAGAACCCTCCAACCACCAAGGGCTCCACAGCACCTCAAAGCTCAGTGCACCCCATAACCACAAGCACCCAGAATCCTCCAACCACCAAGGGCTCCACACCTACAGAGCCTCCTCTATTTCAGAATTTCAGTGGCTACCATATTGGAGTTGGGCGAGCTGACTGCACAGGACAAGTAGCGGATATCAATTTGGTAGGTGAAGCATGGATCCCTCAAAAAGACTGAAATTTATTGTTATCCTGCACTTATTCCGGATTATTACATCATCATCTTCTAGATGTCTAATACTATGAATATTGAACTAGAAGGAAGATAGAAACTTATATTGAACCATAACTCTTATTAAGATAGTGACTGTTTTATGAAGTGGTAGGGTGGGCAAGCTCAAATACTACAGGGAATAAGCAGGTACCATAAATGACTCAGGCAGGTCAGTGTAAGAAGATCAGTAGCTCATGAATACTCAGTGTGGGGGGCAGTAGGGAGTGGTGGGGATTATGTTGCAACTACAAAATGCATGGCTGTAATTGTTTGCTGCCTTGTAAGATTGTGGACTTAGGGTTGCTCTCCCTTAGTATTTTTTCAAGTGAAGCCAGAGAACTTTTGGATTGAAGATCTGAGAATTTACATCTCTCAAGTGGAAAATGTAGCAACTCTAGTTAAAACTGGAAACCCAGTATGGGCCAACACTGTATGAGTCAAGTAAAACACTTCTATGTGTTGGGCGTGGCCTGTAGACTGCCAATCTATTAGCTATAAGAAGCATGCAACTTCTTGGCTCTGATTGCGGAAATACAGGTATCCTTTACTTTCTAAAAGTTTACATTATGCCACTTTGCATTTACAAAAGGACTACATTATGACTACCTGCTTTCACTGAGGGAAATCAGAAGAGGATTTATGCTTTTATGACAAAACAAGAAAAGCAAAAATAGTGTTCAGTACTTGTTTGCAGCAGCTATTATACAAGGCAGGGTGGCACAGTCAGGCATCTTCCTTAGGAACTACTTTCTTAAGCTGTGTATTTATCATAAACTTCCTGATGTTACTATATATTGGTGTTAGTTTAAGTTTTATGTATTATTTCACATGATCTTGGTTGGTTATTTTTTTGGTCCTGGGAATGTTCAGAAATTTTTCTCTTTAAGTTAGTGGCAATTGCATCTTTGCTTTATGCCATTTTGGCTTCTGCTAGGTTTCATAGGACACGCTACTTTTGGTTGACGGGGAAAACCTGTGTCTATTTACACCAGTCCTTCCTGAGTAAAGCAGAGCATGGAGATTGTTTGATGGGATTCTCTCCTTCATACCAAATAATCTTCAGATTCCAGGATTTATTCCCTCCGGTCTGCTCTGAAAAATGACTCTGGAATGTGAATCCTAAATGAACACTCACAGGAGACTTAGAGTAAGCAGTAAAGAAAGCATCCTGAAGACCTGGGTATAGTGTTCAAGGTGGATTTTATGATGTGATGAAAGAAGGGGTTTGGGGTAGATGTATTTGATCTCACTTGGCTTAGGGTGGGACCATATGGTAAAAGCCAGGATTAGGTATTCTCAGTAAAGATTACTTCATCATAAAGCAACCATTTTTTCCCCCAGAAAAAGAAATCACTCATCAAACAGTTGAGTTGAGGGAGCCTTCAATCTTCAGGACATTCCTGGGCAATATGGGATGGTGGGAGGGGAATTATTTCCTTGTGTATTACCTTAGACAGGTGGGAGAAAAGCTTCTCTTTCAAAGAACAGAAAAACCCTGAAAGATCTCCATGGTGGTAAAGAAATTCCTAAACCACACCAGCTCCTTTTTTGCAGGTTGGCCATTAATACAGCTTCTGTATTTTTCTCCACAAATGAGTAAAGCCTCTTTTATGATGTGGACCTTGTTTTTGAAAACACATGTGCTATCTTATTTGTCTTCCCTAAGTGGGCTATTCTTGTCAGGGTGTGCCTGGTTTCTGGTAGCAGGAAACTGTGACAGAGTGGCTCTGATTCTCTTTTCCTCTTTAGATGGGTTATAGCAAATATGGTCAGAATGCAAGGGGCATCCTCACAAGATTATACAGTCGTGCTTTCATCATGGCGGAACCTGATGGGTCAAATCGAACGGTGTTTGTCAGCGTTGACATAGGCATGATATCTCAGCGACTCAGGCTAGAGGTAAGTGAAGTGAGAAAGCAAAGACACGATTTATAAGAAAAGTCTGTGGATGAATGTGACAACAACGAAGCCCTCCTGGTTTTCTCATCCAGTAAGTTTCTCCTGCCCTCAACTTTATAAACTCTTGACAATCCAGCACATAATTATATGAGGTATAATTACCTTTTCATTCTATGTCCTCTTGATTAAATTTTGCTTTTAATTCACTGATGGGCTGATGACTCAGCCACTTTATTCATGCTAATGTTTTTTGAATGCTTATTATATTCCAGGTGACCTTCTGTTCTCTTATTTAATACTTGTTAGAAGTCTGAGAGTGCCAATTAATCACTAACTCCCCTTCTTTTTTTTTAAGATTTATTTTTTTATTTATACAAGAACCAGGGTACAGGCCATATGCGCGGGGGGGGTGAGAGGATTCACCAGAGACAGAGCGGGGAACAGAACAGGCAGACTGAAGAAATACACTGCTGAGGGGAGCAGCTGGTGAGACAGGAGAGGTCTGCTGCGCCATGTGGGACCCTTGCCTGGCCGGCCGGGATTGAACCAGAGCTCTAGAGGCTGCGGGCAGCTTCACAGCACTGCGCTCAACTGCCTGCGCCACCAGGGGACGCCCTGAACCCCCCTTCTTTAGATAATTGTCTTCTGCTCTGTGAACAGGCCTGTGAGAAGGGGTGATGAGAAGACTTAAAAACATTTCTCTGAGGTCACTTCCTGTGGGGAATAGAATGGAAGCCTCTGCCATCTATGGAAACACAAGGAGCTGAAAATTAAGCATTTTCCCTATCTACACTTACCACATAACTAAAATGGGTCTGTTATTATCCCCATGTTATGGATAAAGGTGCATAACTTTCCCAAAGTCAGTTAGTAAGTTACAAGCTGAGTTCTAAACACACACTTCTGATCCCTAAGACACATTCTTAAAAGAGGCATCATTCTTTTATCTTGCATCGACCACCTGCTTTTTATAAGACTCTGCTAGTCACTTCTGGGAACACATAACTAAATGAATCATAGTCCATGTCCCTCTTGAGCTTACTGCTTAGTTGGGGAGAAGGAGAAAGGACTGTAGCAGAAATAGGCACATAACCAAAATTCATTGGCGTAAAATGCAATGATATATAATATTAGTTATCTCTTCCTACTGATACAAATAGCTCTTACACATAGAGGCTTAAAACAACAAGCATTCATTATCTCAGGCATTCTGTGTGTCAGAAATTCAGGACAGGCTTAATGAGGTGGATTTGGCTTAGGGTGTCATGAAATCAAGATGTTGGCAAAGGCTGCAGGGATCTGAAGGCTTGACTGGGACTGAAAAACCCTTTTTCATGAAGATTCACTTGTGGCCATTGGCGAAGACCTCAGTTACCCAATCTGTGTTCCCATGACATAATAGCTGGTTTCCTTCGGAATGAGTAACTCAAGAGAAAGAAATGGGAAGAAGCCATAGTGCCTTTTATAACCTAACCTCAGAAGTTACACACCATCATTCTCACCTTGTTCTATTCATTAGGAGAAATTCACTAAGTCCAGCTTACCCTCAACTGTAGGAAAGTTAAACTGCACATGAAGGCAGGAATAGCAAAAAATTTGTGGACAAATGGTATTTTAAAACCATCACTGGTGATTCAGGAAATGGAAATTAGGGGCAACATTTCAAAGTGGAAGTGACACTGGAATGGACAGAATTTTACTTTGTGCTTTTTTCCAATTGATGTGATACAACATTATACCATAATAGAAGTTTCAGGTGTGCATCATTAAAAATCAACATGTGTATATACATTAAGTTTGCCATTAAAAATCCAATTGTCTGTTTAACCATACAATTGTCCTCTTTCACCTGATTTGCCCACTATCCTTCCCCCTTCTAAATGGGCAGCTTTTTAAATGGTTAATCTGGGGAGGGAGCGAGAGCATATGGAGGGGCAGCATGAACACAAGGAGGAATGTGGACTCTTCTTCCAAGGGACAGAGCTTAGTTCTTCCAGGGTGTATGTAGGCATGTAGTTGGAGATACAGCTAAGAGGTGTATTGGTTATATTTGGAGGGGTCCTGGGATGCAAAATTGATTTTAATTTTGCAGGTGATGAGGATTCTTGAAAACTTTGAGTGGAGAAATGAAGCAAACACAATTTTCCTTTGAATAATTAATCAATGACGCTTTAGGTGTATTGGTATAGACTGGAACTAGAAATGAGGACACAAATTGGCAGATTCTTTACATTAATGTTAAGGCTCTATTGGTGATGGTCCAGTTGAGAAAACAGTATCACAGGAAGCATTTCAAATAGAGAGAATTTAATCAGGGGAGTATGAGGCTTTTGAAGGTTGAAATAATTAGAAAGTCAGGGTTTCAGGAAGAACTTTTAACTTTGCCTGGCAATTTTCCCTATCTCATGTGAGACTGGCACAAATGTTTGAAACCAATGGAGTATAAGAAAAAAATGGTGACAAGAAGTCAAATTAAGTGCTAATGAGATTTGGGGATGAAAAGACATAAAAATAACACTTAACATTGTTTCTGTGATGAGTCAGGCACTGCCCTAAGTGCTTCATTTACACTAATTAATTTATTCCTTCAGGTGCTTCACATATATCAATTAATTTAATCTTCCAAACAACTGTATGAGGGAGGTACTATTATTATGCCACTTGATGATTGGGAAACAGAGTTGCAAATAATAAAATAATTTGTCAGCTAGGAACAGTGGAAGGTGGGATTCAATCTTAGGCATCTTGTGTGTACACAGTCCCACTGCACGCGACTGTTTTTCTAAGGAATCCAAAATAGTTCTGTTTGGGAAATGATGGGGTCTTTAGCCCAGTAGGAGAATCAGAAGGTAGGCTTGCAGGGCGGAGTGTGGAGAGGAGAGGGATTTCATGTGTTAGTTTGTAGATGCTGCCAAGTCAATAGTAGGCACCATTGAACCATCTCTTCTTCATTTTTACTTCCCTATGCAATCTGAGGCCCAGTAGGAAGCTTGTAAATGACCTCTCTTAATTAAGTTAAGTCATGGGAAGATGTGAAAAATAAAAGTATCTAAGCAATTGCCTTTAACCTTATTTATAAGACCTGTTTTTAGGCAGGGTCTCACTCTCAGCTTCAAGATTGATGGCATTCCCAGCGTGGAATGGTTAAGGAAGTTCTCTAAGCAGTGAGGCAGGGCAGGAAAATAGAATGACCTACCAACCCTTTGTCATGTTCTCAGGAGTGTCAGTAATAGGAAATGGAATGGTGACTGAAGGCTAGGAAGTGAGCTGCAGACATTAACGTAACTTTGCTCTGTGTTAAAATACCACTTCTTTATAAAATAGGAAACATGCTGTTTATAATGATTATTTGCAGACACTGTTACTAAATGATTTAGTGTTTTATTTCCTTTTCTTTTCCCACAAGTCCTATGTGTCTGACTTTATATTGGTAGGGTTTCCCTTTCCATAAGGCCCTCCGCACAGAATTGGTAGGGTTTCCTTAGGTCATAGAAATTGGCTTCCCTCAGAGATTGTAGTTTAGGATAAGGCATTTGTGAGCTGTTTATACTCTTTCTTTTATTTTGAAATTAAAAATTTATAATTTTTAGTTTTTTAGATCTTGATTCTTGAATAAACCTGAAGAAATACACTGGATTCCAAAATCCTAACGTTATCCTTCTTTAAGAATAAAAATTGGGAGTAGGCCTAGGGGAATTTTAAAGTTGACCAGCAGTTCTGTCCTTTCTTGTTCCTTCCTTCTTTCCCTTTTTCCTCTCTTTTCCCTCTCTTCCCTTCTTCCCTCCCTTCCTAGCAAATATTTGTAAGCACACTGGGCCTCCCTTTCCATACAGAGTTTTACCCCGGAGTATTTACTTCAGTTGTTAAGAAGTGCTTAAACTATTTAGTGAAAGTGTTCAATTGTTATTTTGGTTTTAGCCTGGGTGGGGGTGGTGGTGACTGGTGTTTTGAATATTCTAGTCTCACTGCAATTAGTAGCCTCTTCTGAGGAGATAAAGGTGATCTCATCTGGTTCTCCCTGCTGGTCCTCCCATGGGCTCCAACTGTTCTGTATTGGGAGCTTCAGACTCAAGTTCGTAATCGTTGCTCTATGCCCCTCTCCTATAATTCCCCAAAAGTGTGCCCTCTGTTTTGGGCACCAACTCTGTACATCCCTTTATAGAGGGCAGTGCTGGATCTCAAGTCCCCAACGAAGCTATACACTTCTGAATCAACACCTGTAGGAATGCTCCAGATAGCAGTTGCCCCTCTCTCTGTGGGTTGTGCTGCCCTGGTTGGACTGTAAACACAGTTCAGTTGAAGTTTCTCCTATTCTTTCATTGAGCCCTTGCTCCAAATATATTGGACTTGTCTTTTTATCTTTCAGTGGTTACTGACTTTGTTCTCCTAAAATTTATTTGTGAGTGTGTGGAGGAGGCAAGCCCAGTGTCTTCACTCTGCCATCTTGTTGGACTCCTGTGAAAACTTATTGAAATGGAATGTGGGCTACTTGGTCAGGGGGATGTAGTCTGGCTGTATCATATTTCCTTTCCTTATTTACCTGGTATTTCAGGGTTGCTAATGAGGATGTGTGGTGTCTTAGCAATAGATGTTTGGGCCATGAAGAGGTTATTGAGGCAAGATGATCTGTAAGATCCTTTTCCTGATTCAGTAACCACATGACTAGAATGAGGGTGGTGTAGTTCTTCACCTAAAATAGAAGAGGTTGAATGGATGTCTTTATGTCTTTTAAGTATGTAGCACGTAGGTTGCTGTGACTCCCTATCTACCTGTGATAGATGGAAATTGGCTTGTACCCACTCACAAGTGTCAGTTGTTAAGTATTCAGGAATTTTACAAGCTAGTTGTTAAACTTTCGGTAGCTTGAAATTGACAATGGCTAAGGATTGCAAAAATTGGCAATCAATACGAATGAGGGCTTTTTTCCCTTTCCTTCAGGGATATAGTTTACTAGCATGCCACTGCCTATGCCATTCTTGAGGTAGACAGTGTTGTTGATCAAAAAGTAGTCTTTTTTGCTAAGCTCAGATTTGGAATCAGATGTCTTCTCAACACACTACTCTTGACAGAAACCAAAAGTAAACAGGACAAAGTACATAAGATAAGCTCATCCCAGCTATAAATGAGCTTACATCATTTTATTATGTGATAGAACCCTACATTGAAAGTGGTTTCTTTGGTTTTGGTACTTCTGCTGGATCATTTTAAGGATTTTTGACATAAAAAAGTCAAAACATCTTTCACAAAGAAACCACAATAATACCAAACTTAAGATTGCTGCTGATTAAAGCATAATGGGAAATAGGTACTCCTCAAGATCACGAATTTTATCTGTGCTATTTTCTTGAGGTGGATGTGCCACATAATGTCACTAATTATGCATTTTGATGTCCATTGATTGACTTACCCATTAAACATTTACTGAGATTTTTGTATTAACTATCTATTGCTTTGCAAAAAGTCATCCGGAAAACTCAGAGGCTTAAAGTAACAATACTCATGTATTTTTGCTCATGATTTCTGTAGGTTAGGAATGCCTGAGTGGCTAGATTAAGATTTATGCTAGAACAGAAGTCATATCTGATCACTTCTGTATCATAAGGTTGAACTCAGATGTTGGTAGGGAGATGTAGATGTTTGAAGGCGAAGCTGAGGCTAAAGGCTCATTTCCAAGGTTACTAGTGAGTGATAGTCCCTTTCCATAAGACCCTCTGCACAGAATTGGTAGGGTTTCCTTAGGTCATAGAAATTGGCTTCCCCCAGGCCAATAATTTGTCTGGGAATACTGAGTTCTTCATTTTTAAAAGAGAGGCATTAAGGACATCTTTGCATGGTCTGCTCCCTGTGCCCAGGATACTTTTCCCCCAGGCATTGCATGACAAGTTTGAACTTTTTATTTAAACCTCTGATGAAAGGCAACCTCTTTTGAAAAAGCTTTCATCACATCTATCACTTTCTTTTTCTTACACAGCAATGTTTTCCTTCATAGCATTTATCACTACATGATACATTAAGTATTTACTCTTTCTCCTTTATTTGAATAAAAGCTTTTTCAGAATAATAACCTCTATATTCCTAGTGCTTAGAACAGTAACCGGATATTAATAGTATGTGCTGAATGATGAATAGGTACAGGTATTGGTTCTATAATTAGGGAGACTTGGATCTGGATTTTGGCTCTTCTGTCTTGATTAGATCAATGGGCAAAGTATTTACCTTTTTTACATTTCTGTGTTCTCAGCAAAAACACCTACCTTGAGAGGGTTGTTTTAAAGATCTTTTAAATGATAATATGTAATACATACATAGCATTGTGCTTACACATACCAAGAACCTATAAAATGTTAGCTATTGCAATTATTGTTGTTACTATGGTGACACATGGTATGGGTAAGCATAGAGTGAAGGGCACTTCATAAGAGATGTCACTGATTTGGATTAGTGATTAGACACATCAGAGCCTTTGCTCATGCTCCTGTTTGCCTTTTCTTATTTCTGTTTTTTATTCGTTTGTTTCCTAAAGGTCCTGAACAGACTGAAGAGTAAATATGGCTCCCTGTACAGAAGAGACAACGTTATCTTGAGTGGTACTCACACACACTCAGGTCCTGCCGGATATTTCCAGTATACTATCTTTGTATTAGCCAGTGAGGGATTTAGCAATCGAACTTTTCAGTACATGGTCACGGGCATCATGAAGGTAGGCAGATGCGCCACTTGCAGCCATTACTTACTGCTGTTTACAGTGTTCAGGAGTGATTTGATGTGATGTGAAGAGTCCATGGAGGAGCTTAACCTGAGGATAGCTTTAGTATCTGTCTTTCCCTAACTGAACTCCCTTGTAGCTCAGGCTGTGGGATGTTAGGCCTGAGGTACTAATTGATTGGAAGAGGAGAGTTTTATGTCAGTAAGCCTCATGCAGTTGTCTAAAGAGACAAAACATTTTGTATATAACCCTTGTATGTATGAAGTGCCTTGTGATTGGTTTCTTTGTATAAAGTCACACTTAAAGAAATGCATCAATGAATCCAAAGTAATTACAAGTGATTCCAATCTTTCCTTGTATTTCCAAAAAGCATAGAAGGGAAACCATTTTATAAACACACACCCTTACCTCTCAAGTCCTCTATAGCAGCTCGAGACCCACATGGTACTCTCTGCTAATAGCCCAAATCCTCCTCCTAGTCTTGGTTTGGATAGTTTTTAGGCCCTCTCTTTCCTGTCTTCCAGCTTATTATTTTCTTGCATACAACGCTTACTAATATTTTCTTCATTCCTTTGCCTTTTGGGTTAAGTCTCTCTCTCATTTTTTCTCTTCAGAAAGTCAGCCCCTAAATCTGGAAATCTAACTGGCAAAGGCAACAGTTTGTTTACAACAAAGTTTTCATACTTTGGCTAGTTATCTATAAAAGTCTTTATGACATCAACTTTATGGGTTGCAATAAACATTAAAATACCAGAGTAAAATAGACTAGAAAATAGAGTGCATAACACAGTAAGAATATCATTTCTTTTGTGAACTTTGTTTTAAGATATGTATATTGGTGTGTATATTTATGATGAAAAATGCATTTCTTACTGTGGTTCTAAGTCAAAACTGCCTTAGGAGGTGGTGGTATAGGGTGGGTAGGGAGGTTGGGAACACGTACATACTAACAAATCTGATGCCAGCATTGTTGGGGCATGTCTCCCATTTTGGCCATCTGAAATGGCAGAGCATTCCTCGCCCAGCCTGCCTGAGAGAGAAAGGTGCTGATCCATAAAGGTATCTCTCTATGCGCAGCACTTCTATCTCAATGCTGAAGGCCACATCTGTTAACCTTTGTAGTGACACCAGTCCTGTGGTTTTCCAGCTTTTGTCCCAGGTGGGGAGAGTTTGGAGACAAAGCTAATTGTCCACAGGGCTCTTTTCTGTTTATAATGACTAAGTCATTATACCCACCATGGTTTTAAATTTCCTACCTTTTTTTTTTTAACCCACAGAGCATTGAGATTGCACACAGAAATATGAAACCAGGCAAAATCTTTATCAGTAAAGGAATGGTGAATGATACCCAGATCAACCGAAGCCCTTCTTCTTACCTTCAGAATCCACAGTCAGAGAGAGCAAGGTGAGGGCAAAATTTTCAAAACAAAATCATGTGTGTCCTTTAGAAAATAGAATCTAAGAATGGGGTTGTTACCTCATGAATTCCATGGGATCTTAAAAGTTAATATAATTTTTTTTAAATTTTTTAAAACTTTTTTTTTTAATTTAATTTATTTATTTTATACAAGCACTGGGTACAGTCAGAAGTGCAGGAGGGTGAGAGAATTCACCAGAGCCAGATCAGGGAGCAGAACAGGCAGACTGACAAAGTACACTGCTGAGGGGAGCAGCGGGTGCGTCAGGAGAGGTCTGCGCGCCATGTGGGACCCTCGCCAGCGGCCGGGAATCGAACTGGTGCTGCAGAGACTGCGGGCAGCTTCGCAGCCCAGCTCTCAACCCCTGCGCCACTGAGGCCCAAAAGTTAATATAATTTTAAAAACATGTTTATAACCTATGACAAGCAGAAATAATAAGTGAGTTGGAAAAACACACGACCTACGCTTGTGCCTTCCCGCTCTGCTGGCTGTGGGTGTCGTTGGGCACACTTGAAGGACTCTGAGCTTTGGAATTGGGTACAATAATGGTCTCATCTTAACTTTATCTCTTCCTAGTTTTGTGACCTCTGGTAATTTACTTAATGGCTCTCAGTTTCTTCATCTGTAAAATGGAGATAAAAATGTGCAGAACATGTATTCATTAAGTTAATGAATAGCTTTTCTTACTGTTATTCAGAAGAAGTCATGTTAGTTCAGGAGAATGCATCTGAGAGAGGGGATAGAACAATATGGAAACTGGAAGGAAGAAGAAATAAAACTAGTGCAATTACATGGAATAACTAAGCGAGATGATTCTTTTCTTTTTTTTTTTTTTCAAGCAACAAACAAGGTTTGTCACAGAGAAGTACTTTGCTATTACGTCAGTATAAAGTAAGACCTCAGTTCAACCTGATGACTATCGTTTCACATTTGTCTGCAATTTTTCAGTAACTTTCAAAAGAATTGATTTTTAGAAAATAGAATCTGATTTCCTATGAAAGGGCATAAAAGAATACATTAAGTTACAGGTCATAAGTGCTTTTGATTTTGCATATTCCCTGCTATTGTTATGATAGTCCATTAAATTTGATATAAGTAGAAATTTCAAAGACAAATTCTTTTTTTAAGAAATTTCAATGACATGTAGTATTGCATATATTACAGAAAAATGTGTATTTCATCTCCAGTGAGCTGGCCTAGTGCCCTAATCTCTGATCACAAACCATTTCTGAGTCCTGGGTACAGTTAGTACCCAGGACACAGCATGTCAGATCGCCTCACTTACAGAGAGGTGTGTGGTTTTGTTTTTGTGTCAGTTTCCACTGTTTGTAATGTAAGAGGACTGGGTTCTAATAAAGAGCTGACTAAGTTTCTTTGTTTTGCTGACTAGGTATTCTTCAGACACGGACAAGGAAATGGTAGTCTTGAAAATGGTAGATTTGAATGGCGATGACCTGGGCCTTCTAAGGTACTCTACTTTTTGAAAATTGAATTCTGTCTGAATAATTTTCCTTAATTACAGGGGCTGAGGGGAGTGGGAGAAAGATACTAGATTAGTGGCAGCAGAGACTGAGAACAGCTGAATGGTGAAGAGTCTAGATTGCAAAGTCAGAGACTTGTGAGATCCATCCAAAGGACCTTGTCAGTGTCCTCAGTATCCCAGGATTCTTTACTGTAAGACAAAGCTAGTAAATTGATTCTCTATAAACAGATCTGGATGCAGAGATCAGCACTATCTGGCACGTTTTATAAAGACTCATTAAATGCTAGTGATTATTGCTTTGTCAAGACCTCATCTGGAGAACTGTGATGGTAGACAATGACCTCTCAACAAAATGAGAAAACAATCTGATCAACCAGGACAGTAATTATGGGATTGAGATATTTACCTTTATTTTCCTAAAAGGATTAAGTTGACACTAATGCAGGACAATACCAATTAGTGATGAAAACAGAAATGAGGCCTGGAAGCAGATGAGGTAAAACACCACTTGATACAGATATTTTGCACTATTTTATATTTACAAAAATGCATGGATTTGGGAAGGCATCCATATTCCTATGTGATGTTGGCTGTTTCAATTGGATTGACTCAGGAACCAATTGGGTGGGTAACGTAGACCCAGACACCTTCCATGTGGGATTCCAAATGATACAGAAATCCCCCACCCCTCTGGAACATGTACGATAGTGTTGGGCTGCTAGGATCAGATGGCTTGGGGTTACTCTGGACTCTGATACTTATTAGCTATGTGACTTTGACCAAGTTATATAACTGTTCCATATCTTGGTGTTCTTCTCTCTATAATTGAGGGATAAAGTGAGTCCTTAAAATGTTTATAAATGTTAGTGAAGGTGAGAGGAATCTTCCAGGTATAATTATGAAATATCTAAATGAAAGTTTCTATGAAAGTAAAATTAACAGTAATGAGAAGCGAAGAAAAACACTAAAGATAAAGAGTATGACTCACAGTTCAGATACAAGGGTTGGTCCTCTAACCAGAAGGAGAATAACTTGGTGATAAGAAATTCAGGGTTTAGTGTTCAGGTTTTATGTGTAGGATTTGGGTTCAGATCCCAATACTGCTATTTACTAAGCCTATGGTTGGGGGAAATTTACTTATCCACTGATACCTCTACTTTTCTATTTGAAAATAAGAATAATAATACTTTTAAGGGTTGTTGGGAGGTTAAATAAGATAATTCATGTGAAACATTCTGTGCCTGAAAGAGAGAAGAGTTTATTATATTTCATGGTAAGAAGATGATTAATATCTATGCCTTCTAAATAACTCTATTATTGACATATCAGAGTGCTTGAAATTCTTAGCATTAGAGTTACTTCTCTGGGTTTAATGTGGGAATCACTAATTACTTCCAGATATACTTGATTCTAGGGATTAATGCAATAGGACTCATTTTTTGATTACAATGAATCCATCTATTGATTAATTTCCACTAAGTATTTAACTCAGTAGACTTCTTGAATGTCAGGCATTCAGCTGTATGCTTGGGGTATGTTAGGATAAATAAGCCATGACCCCTGTCTTCAGAGGTCTTACAGGCATCAAGACCTTGGGCATCAAGTGATAACTAGATGGGGTAGCACTTAATTCTTCATGGGAGCATGTTAGGAGGTTTCACAGAAAAAATGACATTTCTGCTAAACCTGAAAGAACCATGGGGTTTATCATGGAGTAATGGGAAAAAATTACAAAACAAAACAGAGTGAGTTGTGAGTCCAGAGCATGGGGTAGATTAGGGAGAGAGTGAGATATAAAATTGGAGAGGTCAACTAGCTCTAGACAGTGGAACAATTTAGTGGGAAGTTTGGTTAGGAAATGGTCCAGGGTAACAGCATATATCTATGCCTCCCTAGAAAGTGCCTTTTCCTTTGTAGTTTCTATTTAACTCTTGGCTGAATGATTCCATCATGATTCCATTATATTAGTTGCTGAATCATTTAACAATGCAAAACTAAAACTCAAATTCTATCCTTTTGTCCAGTTTTTTTTGTTTCTGAGAATACTTAGAAGTCCCAGGGTCAATTGCCAAGGTTATAATAATGCTTTTCCATCTGCTTTGCTTGATACTCTGCAATAATTTCCCATTGTTTCCATAGTCACCATATGTTATCCTTGATGTAATTGCTTCTGCAGTTACCTCTGTTGCACAGTGATAATTGCTCTTGGAGTACATTAAAAATTATACAAAACGTAGAGTCAAACCTGGGCTGCTAAATAACTCCACCACCACATGTAGGGTCCTGCTGTTAGACAGATGCCGACGTATAGGAATTTGGAAGCACAGGATCTCTGAATTTCATGGAGATCATTGTCAGCTGAGCCTTAGAAAGGTGATGACCTTCTCAATGTCACAACCAAGAGTGTTCTCTGCACACTGAAGGCCACATTGAAGGTCAAATTTATTCCTTCCTACTTTCATTTTTATTTTCATTTCTTCATTCAATAGTCTGCGCTAGGTGCCTGCTATGTGTCATGCAACACTGCCCAGACCTGAAGATCCTTGGATTCAGTCCATTTCCTGGCCTTGAAATCAGGAATCAAATACCTTGCAACCAAATGCCTGTGTAATTCCCTAAGAAAATCTCTTAAACTCCTTGAGACTCAGCTTCATATTTTAAAAATGTGACTGTAGGGTCTTCTTACCCTACAGATTTATTAACTATTATGGAATATATGTGTTATGAATTGAACTGATAATATGGACACATTGATAAGTAAAAATAGAGGTAGTTGTTGTTATTATAGAACTTACAGTCTGCTAATGGAGACAAAATGTATTAAAATAGTCATACAAATACATTCAACATAATTGAGGTAAGTGCTAAGTTGAGCTGTCTTCCAGGGATTTGATTTGCTTATGGAGATTGGAAAAGGCTTACCCAAGGAAGTGAAATGAAACTGAAAACTGCAGAAAGGCTAGGGATCAACTGGCAAAATTGGGGGTGGAAATGAACATTTAACCCAGATGGAGTGCATGTGCAGTTCTGATGCCCATTTGAGGAACTGATAGCAGGTCTGTGTGGCTGGAGTGCAGAGACAACAGGGGCAGGGCATTGGGAGCTAAAGTTAGGGGTAGAATTTAGGTGCCACAGTAAAGGCTTTGTTTGGTTTTTCCACCATGGGAATGGAAAATCATTAGAGTATTTGAAGTTGGAAATTGGGAATTGGGGGCCTTTTTAATGTCTAGGAAGAGTGGGTGATTTGAGGAATGAAACAGAATTACATGTGTGAAACCATTCCATCATCAAGTCCTCAATTATCGTGAGGCTGCTATTTGCTCCAGTTGATCTGAAAGTAGGAAAAATATTTCTGTCATTTTTGACTGATAGTACTCATGCAGGAAAAGGAAATGATTTGTCTCCAGATGTGGAGAATATATTTGTGATGTTTTGTACTCTGAATTAAAATGGAAGCTGGACTATGAACTCCAGGCGACACCTCCAAGAACAAGTCTGCTGTCTAACGGAGAAAGTGAAACTCAGTCTCGAGAGGCCCAATGAAGGAAGACTCCACATGTATGAAAAAACTCTAAAGACAGAAAACAGAGGTTTTGAATGTTTGCAGCAAAAGGAAAGCCATAGGGCAGGCCCCTGCGTGTTGTCACAGGACAGGATGCCTCATTACTCTGCCTCCTCTGATTGCTTTGCCTCTGCCAAATTTCTTCCTTGAGTTTGCAGAAGTAGCAGGACTTATTTCTTTTTCTCACCTTACCAGTCCTGTGAGAGTTGGTATGTTCTGACTCCTATCCATTGGCCCTGTGAGAAAGCCTAGCAGATGTTTGAGTAATTGCTCCATTCCTTCTGTTTTACACAATGAAAACTCATTTTACAGAGAAGGGTTATGTAAGGTGGCCCTTTAAAGGCTCCTTAAAAAAAAATATGGATGATGATTTGTTCAATTTACTGAATTATTTGTGCACACACTTAGAAAAACCCAATTTATGAAGACTTTCTTACAATCTACTGATGGACACAAAAGGTATTTTAAAGTTGAACTTTTCTACATATCTTCACTTTGGGCTATTTGTCTCATGTTTTCAGTGCTTCTCTTTCTTCTACATTTTTAGGATTGGTAGAATTAAAAAAAAATACTTTTAATGGCATTTGTAGATTACAGAGATGTCTGCAACAATCACCCTTATCCTTTGTATTCTATACATAGTGATTTTCCACATCTCCAGCAAGAGGTTTAAAATGATTTCTTTTCCTATTGACACTTGCCAACTGCTTTGGTCCACAGGATGATGGAAGTGATGCTATGTTAGGAAAGGGTAGTTTTTTATTATTTTATAAAATTTTATTTTATAAAGCAATTTTAGGTTCACAGCAGAATTAAACAGGAGTACAGAAATTCCCATCCCACACATGTACCCTGCCCCACTACCAACATCCACTGCTAGAGTGGTACATATGTTATAAATTCATGTAACACATCATTATATCACCCAAAGTCCAGAGTTTGTATTAGAGATTGCTTTTGGTATTGTACCAAGTGGTTTTTTTTTTTTTTAATCTTAATTTTTCACATATATTTTCTAAAATTTCATCAGTGAAAGAAAAAAGAAAATTAAAAACTCCTCAGGTAAACCTGGAACTTAGTAACTTTTATTACTATTTTGTTACATAGTCTTTTAGACCTTTTCCTAATCAAATATATATTTTTTTAAAAAGTGATATTTTCCACATATATAATTTGTCTTTTTTTAAATTTAGAAACACTTTATATTTTTCAATACTACTTAGTATTAAAATCACCTTCAATATTGCTATATAGTCTTCCATTTTATGTATGATAAGGTATGCAGGTAACCAGCAACCATTTCATATTTAGCTTATAGTTTTTTCATTATAAAATACATTATGATAAACATTCTTGAATATATATCTTGTATATTTGCCAATGATTTTGAGCTAAATTCTAGAAGTGAGATTGCTTGCTCAGA